TACGGATACATGTCGGCAAAATAATTTGGCAGTTGAAATACTTCCCACTGTAAGACATCCATTATTTTATATATCCCTGATTTTACCATTTTCCTTCATGGTATCTTTTTATTTCCCATAACTTATTACAATATAATGGCGATAAGCTGTTAAATGTACTTGGATTTGGTCTTTATTTTCATTTTTTATTTCTCTTCAAACTTTAGAGCGTTGCTGTGGGTGTATTCAATTTTCTTAATTGGGAAAATCGTTATGTTGCTGGCGCTTTCATTCCACCATCTAGATTAGATGTTCATGACTCGGAGGATCGGATTACAAGACGCTTGACAGCGCAGGGTACAGAATTGGAGTTAGCAATGCTTGAAGCCTCTCTTCCACTCAGTCGCCTTAAATTGCCATTTATTCCAGAGGATAACTTGAAGGGATTACCAATGGATTTTACCGTTCGTCAAAGTCCTTTGATCGGTGGGCCAGTGGACACTCCTGGTGGCTATCTAGCTGAGCCTATTTCAGACATTTCTGAGGAAAAAGTTGAAAATCTTACTGATCTCTTAAAAACAAATGAGGATGGACACGAAAAACCTCCTAAAACATAACCTTGCTACCTCATTTGTATCAAGGCCTTGTATAGAAAATGCATTATTTTTATTTAAATAAATGCAATAAATTATTAATTTGATTTTTTTATTGCTATCTTCTTGTATCAAGCATGGTAAACAAGCACTTTATTTTTATTTTTCACTATTAAGGGTGATCTCATCATGCCAGTCCAACTTAGACTCTGTTTTTAGATACAAATAGCCACTACTGATACAATTTTTCTATTAACTCTCATTTAGGATCAGCATCCTTATAAACATAAGTGACGATTCACCAAATACAATTTGTAAATGTTTTGCATCTTCCTTCTCCCCCCAATTTTTGTTCTGTTTCCCTGCCTGGAGTCTATATGATGCGTACTCACTTGTTATCTTTACTAACTATACTAATAATTATCTAAATTATGAGGAATATCCAGAGGAACGCACCTTGTCTGGAGTCCATAGTATGCATGATAATTTCCAGGGTCGGACCGTGGACTTTGTAAAGTCCCAGGCGTTTCCCCGCCATCGTAGTCAGCATCGTCAATGAGCCCTGCCATTATTAACGACGTCAAAGCGATAACTTGTAGTGTGGTGCTAACAATGTCAAGACTTATTGACAATGCCGGTTAAACTTCTGGGAATGAACAAAGTCCATGGTTCGACTCTGGAAATTACCGGGCATACTATGGACTCTGGACAAGGTGCGTTCCTCTAGGTCTTGCTGCCAGAATGACCAGGTTGCGAAAACGAGATCAAACAAATTCTATACAACAAAAGGAGACCATGACCATACTTATAGCCACACCATTTTCGTCTTCATACCTTTGGTTACCTAACCTAACTTTGCTCACTTTTATCTAAAACGAGACAAGTGTTTTGCGTCATGCTAGCACAAAGGCTAATAGATAATTTATATTTTGCAAAAGGATTAATTTCACTAGAGCTACTTCCGACCTTATCAGTTGATTGCACAATTTATATTACGTTTATTGTAGAGCTCCTTTCTCCATTACTTGTCCCTCTTTCTTTTGAGTGTAGCAATGTCTAGTATTCTACTGAATTAACCTGCTAGCATTAACACTATTATGATCTCTATGTGACAACATTTTTTGCTAAGATTAGACTGCCCTCAGTTAATCAAAATAGATGAGAGCCACATTTTGGAATTTTTACCTGGCTATAAGGCTCGATTTTGTTCCCCAAAAATTAGAACTCTAGCTCTGTTGCGAAAGAGTATCTTCAATGTGAACTAGTTTAATGAAATATTAGCATCCTTTCTAGTTTGATTTATTTTGAAGTAAGAATGGGAAAAGTATTTTGAGATATCATATTTTCCCTTAATAATTATTTGACCCCTTACCTTTTGACATTCTTTATTTATTATCCCTAATTTTCTTTTCTTGCAGGATATCAATATTAGCTAATAAACTCATCTCAGCACTTACCCCTAACCGGTTCACCTGCATGCATTTCTGCAGTCTTCGCTTTCTTGGGCAGCTGCCTCCTGTGCATGGTCTACTTAGGATTCGGACCTTGTTAGGCCATGCTTTTTCTTCTTCACGCTTTAA